ACTAATGGCACACACGCACACGCACGTGCACACACACACACACACAGATAGACAGAAAGAGAAAGCGACAGAATGAGAGAAAGAGGCAAGGAGAAAGAAATACAAACAAAGAGAGAGATGAAAAGAAATAAAGGCAGACAGAGTTGCAAAGCACCATTGTGAATCCTTAAAAACATTTATTCACTGCACGATACACTCTCCCCATTCATCCGGGTACTGAGTTGCACTGGCTCGTGCCTCAGTGGCTGGGTCACACACACACACACACACACACACACACACACACACACACACACACACACACACACACACACACACACACACACACACACACACACACACACGCACACATACATACACACACACACACACACACACACACACACACACACACACACACGTACACGCACAAACACACACACACACACACGTACACGCACAAACACACACACACACACACACACACAAATAATAAACAGATAAAGAGCAAGTTCCGGTTGGATGGACCCGCTGAGGGGCAGCGGCCGTTTCAGCGAATCAGTTCGCCGGGTTCGGCTGCAGGTCGCCCCGAGGGTCCTGCTCCGAGGCCAGCTGTGGCCTCGAAGCCTCCTGCCCCTGTTCAGTGGGATCCGCCTGCGTCGAGTGCGCCTCGGAATCCTCCGGGTCCCTCGGAGCTTTTCCGACGCAGCAGCAGGACCAGCTGAAGAGGTCCAGCGTCTCTCCTACCGCCTCCATGATCTTGTTGAGCTTCTCCTCCTTCCTGGAAATGGACTCCTCGTTTTCCAGTTCCTGAAGGAAGATGTCAAGGAGATCCTTCTCTTGGTCCGCCTCCGGCTCGCCCTGCTCCTGCTCGCGGGGCAGCGCACGCGGGGCCGGGGGAGAACCCGTGGGCACTTCATCCGAAGCCGAGGAGCGCATGAACATGTACACTCTCACTAGTGCGTAGAAAACCACGATAGTAAAGATGTTTAGGCTGAGTACCTTCAGCAAAGTCATTCCCGTGACCTTCCAAAACGCTGCTGAAAGGAGGACGAGGGAAAGGCAAGTCATTGTGTCCGCGGTCTCGATCAGGACGTACATCGCAGAAGCTGCCTTGCGGTCGCGTCGCAGATGACGCGTTGGGCCGAGTACGAAGCTAGTAAAGACCTGCTCGCACGCATATATTGCTGAATTGCCGTGGTCCTCCAAGCATCTCTATTCCATTTCTTCAGTAGGACTGAGTACTTGCCAAACGTACGTGCTTGTTGAAGCCATCATTTTCAGTTGCACTGAATGAGCCTCCAACATGCATCCACTGCCCTGTTGCAACAGTTTTGGTTTTACCCCAACCAAGGGTGGAAAATGGGTACTATGCCTTTCCAAAGGGCAACCCAGGGTGCAGTTTAACGTCTTACCCAGGACAATATATATATATATATATATATATATATATATATATATATATATATATATATATATATATATATTTATTAATTTATTTATATACACACACACAAACTCACACACACACACGTGTGTGTGTATGTGTGTTTATGTGTATGTGTGCGTGTGTGTGCGGATGTGTACACACATACACGCACATACACACACGCACACACACACACACACACATATATATATATGAATATATATATATATATATATATATACAAAAGAAAAGGCGTATGAGAAATTATAGGAGATGTTAGACACTAAGGAAGGGGAGTAAGGTTTCTATAGACTGGCCAGACAAAGAGAGAGTTGTGCAGCATGTAGAAAGGATAAAGGATGCAGATGGAACCATTTTGACAGGTGAGATATCTTGAGAAGATGGAAGGGGTATTTTGAGGAACATATGAACGTTGAAAATGCAAGAGAAGGAGGACTGGAGGACGCACAAGTTGGAAATCAAGATGTGTAGGAGGCCATGAGAAAGATGAAAGGAGCTAAAGCTGTAGGTCCAGATAACATCCTGATAGAAGCATCCTGATAGGAGCGATGATAGTGGCGTGGTTAACCAAACTCTCACAGAACATGATTCTGGGAGAGAATGCCAGGGGAATGGAGGAAAAGTACCTTGGTTCAAAAACTGCAACAATTACAGAGAAAGAAGGTTAATTAGTCACGGAATGGAAATTTAGGAAAGAGTGGTGGAAGGAGAGCAGCAGAAATCCGCGATGAACAGTTTGGATTTATGCCAGGAAGAAGGACAACAGGTGCAATATTCGCCTTGAGAATGGCAAAGGAAAAGCTCAGGGAAGGCGGCCAGAAAGGGTTGCATCGTGTCTTTATAGACCTAGTGAAAAATGATGACAGGGTTCCTAGAGATGAATTAATGTATTTCATGAGAAAGTCTGGAGTGGCAGAGAAGCTCTTGAACGCGGTGAAGAATGTGTATGAAGAGAGCATAATATCATTAAGGTTCGTGACAGGAACGACGAAAGACTTCAGAGCGAGAGTAGGCATGCCCCAAGGATCAGCTCTGAGCTCTGTCTTGACTGATGTGATACGGAAAGTATAACTTCTGCATTGGGAAATGTTTGCCCTTAAACTTTAGTTATGGATATATGTAATCGCACAACCAGCTCCTAACAGCACACATACTTAAAAGCACAGACACACAAGTAAACACACACACACACACACACACGTACTGACTCACACACAAATACGCACTCACTCACTCACTCACATATACACACTCATGCACACAATAATAAACACACAGGTTATGGCATTTTTTTGGGTAAATTTATAATAATTTCATTGTAGTAGAGTGTGAACCAGTTTCCCCCACAAGTATTGAGTATGCTATCATTTCATATCGATATGATTTCATCTTCAATCATTATTTTTGCATATAATGAAGTGAAGTATGATATAGAAATAGCTTGGAAGACTGATTAGTACTATAGATAAATCCTACGGAAGCTTTTACTTAAAAAAAAAGTCAATATATAAGGGTAGTGATAATGATGATAGTAGTAATGATGATGATGATGAAGATGATGATAAGGATAATAATAATGATAAAAATTATAATAAGAATGTTACTGATGAAAATCATGATATTTTTAATAATAATTGATAATAATAATGATAAGGATAATAATGATAATAATAATAACAACAATAATAATTATAATAACAATAATAATAACATAACAGTAATAATGATGGTAATGATTACAATGATAATAAACAAGAATAATAAAGATAATAATAGTAATAATGGTAATAAAAGTAATGATAATTATAGTGTTGATGATAATAATAATAATTGTAATAATAATGATAATAATAATAATAATAATAATAATAATAATAATAATAATAACAATGATAATAATGATAATATAATATAATAATTATATAATATAATATAATAATGATATAATATAATATAATAATAATATAATATAATATAATAATAATAAAAAAAAATAATAGTAATAATGATTATTGAAATAATGATAACAATGTTAAAAACAACAATGATAATGTGAATAAAATAATGATGATGATAATGATAATGATAATAATAATGATGATAATAATAATAACAATAATAATAATAATGATAATAATAATAATAATAATAATAGTAGTAGTGATAATAAGAATAATAATGATAATGATAACAATAATAATGATAATAATGATAATGATAATAATAATAATAATAATAACAATAATAATAATAATAGCAGTGATAATAAGAATAATATTGATAATACTAATAATGATAATAATGATAATGACAATACTAATAATGATAAAGATGATAGAACTACTAATAATAGTAATGATAATGATAACAATAGAAGAATGTACAATATTAGTAAAAAATCATGATAATAACAATGATAATACTTACCCCCAAAAAAGATTAATAAATGAATAAAAAGTCTTTAGAAAATATTGTGACAAAAGAATAAAAGGAAGAAGTGCAACCACAGAAAACAAAGACAGTGAAGATATATAGGATAAAGACATAAATAGGAAAGGTAAAAATCACGCGTCGATTTAATATTCATATGTAGCAGGCCTTTTAACGAACGAATGGGAAGAAAAAAAAAAAGAAAAGAAAAATAAAGAAAAGAAAAGAGAAAGAAGAAGAAGAAGGAAAAAATAATGAGAAAACAAAGGATAATGTTACGCGATTAAGGAACTTATGCGTAATGAGGTTTATTATGACAATAAATATTTCGATTCTGGTTCGCACGTTTAGGAAGAGGAAAAGGGCGGAGGAAGGGAGGAAGGGAGGGAAGATTGGAGGGAGGGAGGGAGGGAAGAGGATGGGAGAAAGGGAAAAAGGAGGGGAGGGATGGAGGGAAGATTGGAGGGAGGTAGGTAGGTAGGGAGGGAGGGAGGAAGGGAGGGAAGGAAAGAAGGAGAGAGGGAAGGTGGGAGGAAAGGAAAGTGGAGGATGAGGGACGGAAGGAAGGAGTAGTGTGGGAGGATGGGAAAGAAAGAAGGAGGGAAGGAGGGAGGAGAAAAGTAGAATATGGGAGAGGGGAGAAGGATGGAAGGGCTTCTCCCAGCAGCCGCAGCGACATCTCTCGGGATCTCTCCTGGCGCCACCGAAGGCCGCGCCTCAGCTCCCTCGCGCGGCCACTTTTGGAGTCTGCGGGAGACGACTCGCCTGCACGAACTCCCCTTCTTCCGGGACGGGTCTTCTGGCCCTCCTGGGACTGCTGCCGCGCCTTCGTCCGCGTGATGGCGAGAGCGGAGCTGGATGCCGCGCCTTCGCCCCCTCCCCCCCTTTCTCGAGTATACCCTTGACAGACTAGTACCTGCTGATCCGACGGGAATGGGTGGGGGGGGGGAGGGGCTCCTACCACCGACGCCAGAGCCAGCACCTCTGATATTTGCTTCGCTCGTGTCAGTGCAGTCTTTAAAGCCGGCTGCGTCTCCTACAGAGGAGAGAAGAGGACGCCGGCGGATAGCTGCGGAGTCGCAGGAACCTCGGGGTCGGGCGGCGCCGGCTACCGTTCTGGGCGGCCGGATGCCGCGAGATCAAGAGGAAGTGAGGGATCTTCCGTCCAAATTTGACATCTGTTTCAGCCATGACACTTCCGGAAAACATTTTTTTGCTAAAACCCACTTGTTTTATGACGCTAATCCACGCGTTTTGCCAAACAAACCACGTGTACTTAAAGAGGAAACCATAAACAGTGAAGATCCAGTTGACAACTAACTAAAGCCTCATGGAGTTTCCTTCCCGCGGGGGACACCAATCTGTTACGAGGCAAATGAACTCGTCAGTCTCCATAAATGCAATCAACTCCCATGTTCAGCTTTCCTTCGTTGGCAGTGTGCCGGGGCGGTAGATAAGTATTCCTTTCTTTTAACTGACGTGATACAGATTATAATAACGTTACAGCCTAACATTATATTGCAATGCTGTGATATGATTCTACAGTCATGGATCATATGTATCACAGCCTGTCCACGCCTGTGCAGTTAGCCAGGGTGGGAAATAAAGGACTAATAAAAGCTCATTGCATTTGGATCTTGTACACACACACACACATATATATATGTATATATCTATATATATATATTGTATTATGTGTGTGATTTTGTCCGTTATTCACTTCATTTTGCTGGCTTTCCCATCATAAAATGCGTGCGAGAAAACAGACGAGGATATGCATACATAAATACACATGCAATAAATACCTTCATACACACACACAGACACAAACACACACACACACACACCTTCACCCACACACACACACTCAAACCCACACCCATACACACTCAAATACACACCCACCCATACACACACTCACAAACACACACACACACGCGCGCGCGCGCGTCTCTTACACACAAACACATACACGAAACATATGAATATAATCCAATGTTTGTGTCTTACTGATGCACCTTTCAAGTAACAATGATTTCGTGAATAGTTCCTTTTGATATTGTTTGTGTTACAAAGCATCCGGTCTTCAAACGCACACTTTCTGATTAACAAGAGCCGGCGAACTGCCATTTTCCCCGAGAGCCATCAAGCCACTTTCTGCCTTGATTAGTGAGCCGCGTTGTTGCTTTTGATGTGCTTGGAGCCGCGTTCGAGGGGATTGCCTGCCTGGATCTCTCTCTCTCTCTCTCTCTGTCTCTATGCTTGCCTTGCCTCTCTCTATGCCTGTCTCTCTCTCTTTATGTCTGTCTATCCTCCCTCTCTCTTTCTCTCTATATACACACACACACACACATACACACACACACATATATATGTATACACACACACACACACACACACACATACACACATATATACACACACACACACACACATGGATGTATATCTCATCGTTTCTTCCCCTCTCCTCTCTCCCTCTCTCTTGTCTCATTTGTCTCCTCTCGTTCCCCTTCTTTCTCTCCCAGGTGCATTCTCTCCATCACGGCTGCAAGGCACGTATGCATATCAAGTTATACGAGAGCCATTCCACTTAGTGCTGCGCTCAGTTCGCCTGAGGAGATTCCGCTGCAGCAGCACTTGCCACTGATTACAACACACAAACACATCTATCTATCTATCTGTCTATACATATGTATACTTTTATGTATACGTGTATATACAGATAGACAGATAGGTAGATAGACAGATAGACTTTTAGAATAATACTCGTACATGTGGAAAGCCATTAGAGAATGAAATCAAAGAAAATCCTCCGTGGGTCAAGTGCAGCGATAGATAGAGAAACAGATAAATACGAGCGTACATACCAGCGTGCCCACAGAGAGGGACTCCACCTGGGTTTATAGTGAGAGGCGAAAGAGTTGTTCATTGCTTTTCTGATCACTCTGGTAAGCTGTGACAAAGTGTTGTATTCGTCACACTCTGAGTGAAGAAACAGCCAGTTTTAGCCTTAAGTAAGTCTGCCTTTTTACGAAGTTATATGTGATGTCATCATCATATTCATGCCATCACGAACTTTTTAGCGCCTTTGATCCTTCCCAAGGGAGTAGTCGATTAGGTAATCATTGTTGGTAGTAAACAGAACGGTGAAAGCATATAACATAGAAAAGCAATAATAACATGATAAAGTTTGAATAGGTCCCTTGTCTGTATGAAGTATTGAAAAAGACTTATAATATATCTAAATAACAGTTATTTTGATTGTTTTATATGCAATCAAATATTCAGGTTTTAGATGTTTTACCTAAAGAAAGAAATTATCCATCTTGGGGAAAATACTTCTGTGGCGGCATTGGCAAACATTTTATATAATTCGAGATAATATAAAAAATACATATATACATATATATATATATATATATATATATATATATATATATATATATATATATATATATATATATATATATATAATATATATATATATATATATATATATATATATATATATATATATATATATATATATGCGTATATATGTATAAATATATGCATATATATTATATATATATATATATATATATATATATATATATATATATATATATATATATATATATATATATATATGTGTGTGTGTA